TAAAATTATATATAATTATATGTTAAATAAATTTATATATATATATATATATATTATTTATAGTGATATTTTATATATTTTATTGTATGTAACATTTTTTATAATGTTAAGATAATAGCCTTATGACTTTATTTTAGTATAGAAAATTTGTATAAATCACTAAGGTAAAATTATATTTTTAATTGGAAAATCAAGTTTAAAAATTAAGTAAAAGAGTATTTAAGTCCGTAGTCTCTAATTCTTTTTCTAAATAGACATTTTAAGTTTTAGTTTCATCTCATTTATTTATTTGTAAACAAAAATCTTAAACTGTGATTGTGTCCCATTTTAATTTCATTTCAGTTAATGCTTAAAACTTGTAAATAATCATTCATCTTGAATACATTTCCTGAGAACAATACAATGAATGAATAGTGTATGCATCAATAATACAAAAATATTTATACTACTTTTTAATCATAAATTGTTAATTTATTAATTTTATAATATTTTTTCTTAAAAAATTGATTGACATAAGTTTTAGATTTTGTTAAAATTTAAAATATACAATTTTTTGTTGTTGTTATAGATGCAAGATGAAAAGGCAGCGACCCTCCGGTGGCCCAAAGGATAGATGCTACAATTTTGATAAAGAACAAATACAACTTTATTTGAATTTTTTTTATTCTTCGAAATTAACTCTTATGATTAAATATGAATAATTTTCATGAAAAAATGTTATAATTCAAATTATTATTTATCATATATTTTTTTATAATTTAAATCAACATTTAACATTTATATATTAAACATGAGCAACTTATTTTGTATTAGAGTATTTTTAGGGGTTATTGGATGTATTTTTATTTTTTAGAGATTTTTTAAAATTTTTTATTTAATTCAATTTTTTTTTAAATTTTAATATTTTAAAATAAATTATCAATAATTAAAAATAATTCTATCTCATAGTATAAATTATGTGTTTTAAATCTAAAATATATTTTGTATATTTTAAAATATCTATTTATATAAATTTTAAATATAATTTATATTCAAATATAGTATTTCACTTATATATATAATTTATTATAAATTTTAATTAGGCTTAAATGCATTTTGGCCCCTCAAGTATAAATTTGTGTAATTTTAGTCCCTCAAATTTTAATCGAGTAATTTTAGTTTCTCAAATAACGCACTTATCAATTTTGACCTCTCAAATTTTAATTAAATAACTTTAATTCATTAAATACCACAATTGTGTGATGTTAGTTTTTCAAGTATTACAATTATACAAATTTTTACATATTTAAGTTATATATATTTATAATTTTAGTAATACTAAATATATTATTTAATACATGAATGAAAATTATAATATATATATATATATAATTTAAATATGTTAAAAATTGTATAATTGTAATACTTGAGAGACTAAAATTATATAATTACAATATTTTAGAAACTAAAACTGTTTAATTCAAATTTAAAGATCAATATCATACAATTGTGATACTTAAAAGAGTAAAATTACTCGATATAAAATATATATAAAAAAAAAGGAAGTGCCCTTATTAAAAAAATATCATGAGCCTTTGCAAGGCATTGTTCAATATTGTTGGATCATTTTGGGCCTGTCGTGGCCAATCTTTGTTGGGCTTGTATTTTTATTTCCTTTTTAGCGAAAATATAAAAGAAATGATATATTTTCCACAGCAAATTTCTTAAACTTAAGTGATGCATATGAAAAAAGGAAAAGAAAAAGGTGATGTTTATGGCAGGCTTTGGAGGGTTGATTTATGATGTATTTGTGTATCGAAACTAACACAAAAATAATTAATTAGGAAATACATGTTCGAATGTTCCCAATGCCTTACTGTGTAGTTATAATTAATCTGTAACCACTAAGTATGATGATCATAGGTGTTTAGCAATTATATAAATAAGGGTATCAAACTGTAGAAAAATAAGTGTAAGATTTTTACAAAGTAAAAAAACGAGTTAATTGCGTTAACCAGCTAATTATTCCATGTCCAAATGTAGTTTTCTGCATATTATTATAATTATAAAGAGGCATATCAGCTTTTACACCCAGCGAATAATAATATTTATATTTCATGATTAAAGTTGTGGTAACATCTCAGCATTTCAAGTTGAAAATTGAATAGAAAATGATAAATGATCTAAACCAACGAGTAATTGTTATTTGATTAACGTTTCACTCGATCAACTTGCTAATAAAATTATTAATTTTCTTGTCTATGATTGATAGGGCAGGAATATAATATATATAGCATAGCCATAGCACACATGCATTGTTGGGTTGGATTCGTTAAGTTGCCTTTTCGCCTACCAAATATAAAACGGCTGTTTATAACATTACATGTCCATATCTTATAATCTATCTCTACTTAGAATTTAATATTGGTGACCCCGAATTCTAAAAATAGATTTCATATAGAAGATGAATTTAAATTATAGTTATTTATTTATTTATTTTTGAACTTCGTGTATTTTTAATTGAGATAACTTTTATTTTTTAAACATTTTTTTTTACTATTAACAAGATTTTTCTAACAATATTTTTATATATAATATATATGATATCATAATTTTTATTGGTATTGTATGTTTAAAATTGTAGATAGACTTCCAATTAATCAATTTGGTTAAAAATATATGTCTTTTCAATTTAATATTTGAAATACTCATTAGATTCAATATCTTAATGATTACACTTTATTAAATTCAATATCTTAATGATTATCCTTCTCGAGATTACAACTGTCTTTAGAAAAATAATTGTTCCTATAAATCAATATAAGATTTTTTAACATGTTTTACCTCCACTCATATACTTTTCAATTTAATATTTGAAATGTTCACTAGATTCAACATTTTAATGACTACATTCTATGTGTTAGAATAGTGGATTAAGCCTAACTCAACCCTACAAAACCGCCTTGTATGGTGAGAGTTGCTTTCCACTTATATACTATTTAATTGCCTAATCTCTAGTCGATGTGGGACTTGAGTTTTTCCCAATACACCCCCCTCACGTCCAGCACTATTAGGCTTGGTACGTGGATAAATGGTAGGTGGCCCTTTTTCAATGATCTAGGATTGGCAGGACTTGAAATACACCCCCTCATGCCCATGGTGCATGTATCAATGAATAGTAGGTGACCCTTTTTTAATGACGGGACTTGAATACACCCCTCATGCCCATGATGCATGTATCAATGAATGGTGGGTAGCCCATTTTTAAGAATCTAGGATAGCTCTGATACCATCTTAGAATAATGGATTTAAGTCTAACTCAACCATACAAAACCGGCTTGTATGGTGAGGGTTGCTTTCCACTATAAAAATGAGTCACCCACCATTGATGTATGCCTCATAGGCATGAGGGGGTGTATTGGGAAAAACCCAAGTCCCGCCAATCCTAGATCATTAAAAAGGGCCACCCACCATTTATCCACGTACCAAGCCTAATAGTGCTGGACGTGAGGAGGTGTATTGGGAAAATCCAAGTCCCACATCGACTAGAGATTAGGCAATTAAATAGTATATAAGTGGAAAGCAACCCTCACCTTACAAGCCGATTTTGTAGGGTTGAGTTAGGCTTAATCCACTATTCTAACACTATGACATTTCATAACACATTTTACAACTCATCATCAAAAGACTCATAACCTTTATAGGTAACTTTTTTTTTTAATTGTTTTTATATGCACAACTGCCTTTAGGAGAACAATTGGCTTCACAAGCTA